TTAGACGGATTCGTGCAACGACAAACCTGAAGAAAAGACTTACGCACAGTGAACACAGGGAACAAGTAACCATTCTACAAGTTCTCAAATTCAAAGGGTGTGATGGCACGAACCTTACAACATTAACTGTTTCAGCAATTATCAGGTTCTGGCCTTATATGCCATAAGATTTTAATTTGCATAGAAACTTATACAAAGGGGCAGAAAATGAGGATGAGTGAAAACGGAACGCACTTCGCTGCTATGTTTCATGGAGCCTAAGGCTGAAACTGATATGCAATAAATAACTGAAGGATACCATGCAGACAGTTCGCCTGAGTGGTTGGCGTAGATGACAAATTCCACTTCTGCTCTTCGAGCCGAAAATTCCTATTGCGCGAAATCAGCCATTTTTCATTACATTTCCTAATATAACTGGCATCATAAGCGGCCATGCGCAAAGAAGTCTGCCTGAAGTAAAAAATTTTTAATCACGGTTTTCATCTCTTCTATTTCCCAGACCGTTTCAAAATAACTAAGCAAAACTAGGCTTCATATTCACGTGGTCAAATATTAGACGATAACTTCTTTAATAAATATGGCCTATTTTAGAAATTGAAGACCAATTCTAAAAAACTAGGTTGCAGTCTATAATATTAAGCTAAAAATGCTATGCGTCTTATGTGCATAAAAAAATTATGGAACGTTTTACTGCACATCGGCACAGTGCAGAACATTCAGTCATCAACATTAGACATTTAATGAATAGCCGTTTACCGAGGTCGATATTTCAATAATAACAGACAACAGAAATAATTGAAACTTGTTAGCAGACCGATTATTGCATGAAAAAACAATGAAGGTGCTATATTTAACGATAATTCTGCTTTATCGAATGTGTCAAAGTTGAGCAGCTATCCAAAACAACAAAAACAAGATCCCCAACAATCAGTGAACCTATTGACTCAGGAGTAATGGAAATACTAATTGTACCGTTACAGGTTTGAATTCCATCATTAAAATCTCTCCCTCAGTTTTGGAACGGTTAATTAGGTCAGTGTTCGTGAAGGATAGTGCATTAACTAGTAGATATGGAAGTAAATCTTTAAAAAAACAGCTTTTACACTACTTCACAACTTTTGCTGTTATCTATAAGATCGTCATTTCTCTGCCGTTTCGCATTAACAGCAAGTTTAATTTTGTCATGCTGACTGAATTCTCAGCTTTTCAACATTCGCTATATAGCGCCACGAAGCTGCATAAGGAACAATTTTTCACGAACGCAGATCTACCTCTACTTTGTTCATACACGTTCCGCGCTCTTCTTTCTCAATACCTGCCGTATTTTGCATCTAAAATGAAACACCCACGTTGTAATAAAGCTTCTGTTCAACCAGGTCAATCTCTTTTAATCTTCAGCATTTATTGTTAATACTTCGTCTAAAAAAGACCAGTTACTGTATCATCACTATGGTGTTGGCTTCCATCATTTAACCCTCATCATGCGCCGAAACCTACACTGCCGCAGGCTGCTCAACCGCCGAAATTTCTCTATCGTTAGAACGACGGTCTCCATATCTAGGACAACGCTGACCTGACTGAAACAAGCTACAGGTAGATTTTTGTGAAAAGAAATACCTCCTAAGCAGCCCAAACATTGAAAAGACAAGCCGCTCAGTTAAGACATCACTACAATTAGTCATAATCAGTTACGCTGCTGTGAAATTGTATGATTCTAAACGCGACTGGAGCGAACCTATTTTGATGAAAAATGGAATCCTCATGAGCTAGCAAGCAAATAACTATGGACTAAGGTCTGAACATCAACCAGACAAGAAATCTGAAGTAGATATGTATCAACCATTAACTTCACATGGTTTATAGACAGTTACTTCACACCTGTACGGAATAGGACTTCCTTGAGCGAACTTTGACAGGTGAACAACAACTCCGTGGACCTTCGACTTAAGTTTTCGTTCTGACCCATTCTGTTTGAACACGAGGATCGTCAATCCAGGATCTACTGATGATCCGACATGTATATTCCACGTTACGAACTCACATTTTTGATGATTGAACAAAACGTCGAAATTTTTACTTTCCATCATCCCTAAAACGGTACCAGCAGCAAATGACGACAAACTTACATGTGCGAACATATCTGATATACACAAAGGATCCAGAATCAGTCAACAAACTTTTTAAAAAAATTTACTAACGTATAAACAAATTTCGCATCAAACAATGAAACAAACGTATGACACAGACAACAACTAAACTGCGAGCAGCCAATCAAAATTAGGATGAACTACAAAGACGAGATCTTTTCAGTGGCTGAACATCGTAACAGTCGATTAATTTCGTTTTTGCAGATGGCCTCCTTTCGTGTCGCTTAGGTTAAAATATCGACAGTATCAGTTCAAAGAACAAATTTACGAATGAGACCGACTTATAACCAGGCCATGATTAAATATCCTTGTCCCCTGACATCGAATGCTGCAATGAACATATCTCTGGAATGCAATTACAGTGAAAACAAAGAATGCACCTTTAAGTCAGCAATAAGCGCAATCCGTGAAAAAAAATATAGCAAAAATAAATTTACGGCAGATGGTGAAAAAATTCTGAGCGTTTTCAGTCTAAGCAAAGTTCCAATTTTAAAACTTAAAATAAGGGATCTTCTCGTAACGAAACAGCAAATTCTATGGCACTTTCTGTCGAAGGAGACTGCACATGAGTTTCAGACAGTCCCAATTAACCAAGAAGGAAAAGCAGTTACTCCATCTTTGATTCGTGGGACACCCACTGTATGTCTGACTGTCCGTCTAATAAAGTTAACCTTCTCAAATTTTCGAACTCCGGAAGAGCAATAGAAAAACTCATTGCGTTTTCAACTGCCGGTTCAACACAATGAGAATGTCATTCTCGCAAAAAGGTCGAACTACAGGCACAATACTCAATGCCACTCGTCAAAATCAAAGCAGCACGCAGAGAAGAGGTGAGTTATTGATTAGGCTTGAGAGAGAACGGCTTCTGACCAGTCGTTGCTAACCATCTCTTAAAAATAAAAGCTAGCTTATCCGATTACGCTTCATTACAACCAAGAGAGAATGTAAGAGCTAGTCGATGATCTGCGAATTTGCGAGAAGATATTATGCTGCAGATGCGTGACTATGTCAAGAGCTTACGCAATGTATGTCTTGCCGTTAATATGCACGGTTTAGAGCTGAAACGCACTATGGTGAGCCTAACAGACTACCTGACATGTGAAAAAGGAATTATTCTAACTATATAAGTTCAAATTGAAAATTAATTTAATTTTAATCGAAGAAGCGCTATATCCTTCCATCTAGCAGAAATGCTTCAAATATTACCCGTCAAGGAAAAGCCGATGCACAGTTCCGCAAAAGAAACGTAAGAAATTGTAAATGCTAAAACTATAAATCGATTTAACAGCTTTATTTTTATTAAAAAAAACTATAAATTTAGACAAAGGAATATACATGAAAGGCAGAGTGCACATGAGTTTATGCTTTCTTCTCGTGCCTATGTCTTGAAGAGGTGTGATCATAGTTTTTATGCTTTTTCTTTCGCTTTGTTTTATCAGCCGCATGATTATCTGCATGCTTGCTTTTCTTCTTTCTCTTCTTCTTTTTATCCTTCGACTTTTTATCCTTTTTGGGCTTTGTCACTGATTTTTTTGTGTCAGCGTTTCGTGGTGAGTCTAAAGC